CACTGACCACGAGAACTGTGTTTGGTCTGTTTGGCAGAATTTCATTTCTTTATGGGAGCGAAGAAAGTGCACAACCCAGGTGTACAAACATCACTGATTGAAACTGAAGCGACATTTATATTTAGTATTAAAAAACCCATCCTAAGCGTTATAGCAACAGGTCTACAAAACAGCACCATTAAGTTTATTTTTACTTTACAAAAAAGCAGCATAGACACTAACTTTAGAAAGGAAAATGCATAAAAAGTGACTAGCAGCTATAAGAAGTTCGGAGCAGCAGAAATATAGTCAGGACTCGATAAATTGATACTTTGTTAAATGTTTCTTATTGTCTGTTTCAATAGCGTGATTCAAAAAGACAACAAATGCAAGATCCAAAATTATGTATCACCTAGTGTTTCAGCAGTATCATTGATGAGCAGCACAAAGGCACCAGCGGGCAGCTATAAAAACTCGCAACGGCATATGCCACGGCGTCGGCTCAACGCAGAAGCATAAATCAGCCTTAAGGGTTTCTGCTTCGTAATCAGTAAAGTGTCCTCAGCCCATTCTAAAGCTGTAATTAAGGTCTTGCCCTAATGGACTCCATATATGTATTACAAAGCCAGAAGGCTTATGCATGAGCTTGAGGCTTGGAGTCTAACGTGATTTCCAGTTCTGGTGATGGCAGACTGCTGCCTAAAGCAACATCAAATGTCAGGAATAATAAATAAAAATGTGTGTGTGACTAACAGGCTAAACGCTTGAAATATTTCCCAAGGATCTTCTGGATAACCAGAATATGACGTGCATTAATCACGTTAACTGGGGCGGCACGGTGGTGCAGTGCTCATCACTGGTGCCTCACACCTCTGGGGTCACGGTTCGAGTCTCTGCTGCTGCACCGTTTTTTCAGAGCTTGTATGTTCTCTCTGTGTTATTGTGTGGTTTCCTCCAGGCACTCTGGTCCAAAAACATGCTCTGGTTCATTGGAGTTACCAAATTGCCCGTAGGTGTGAATGGCCTGTCAATAAATGCTGTGAATGCACCCTAAAATGGATTGGTGCCCCATCCTGGATTGTTCCCTACCTTGTACCCATAGTGTCAGGGATAGGCACAACCCTGAATAGGACAAACACTTACAGAAAATGGATGGATTAATCACATCAACTATTCAGCCTTAAGGAGTTCCTTTATAACAAGTTACAAAACCGAGAAATGTGTTGGAATGTGAAATTCCTTGGATGTGTTGATTAGAGACATAAAAAGGGATCTCTGATAAAGACGTTCTCAGGAAATGAGGCCTTCCAGAGTATTTTAATGCCAAATTCCTTTTTGTAGAAAATAACACCACAAATTTAATGTTCTGTTGGAAAATTTGCTCTGTGTTGATCTAATTAACTGTACGTGAAATGTTGAATATGTTCCATCCATCTATTCATCTTCCTTGTTAGGGTCACAAAACTATCGTTTTACTAAATATCATCTTCTCCTGCAGGTGCTGTTTTGTTTTCTTATGTATAAAGAATGCTGTCAATTTGCATTTCTAAAAAAAAAATCCCAAAACCTGTCAGCAGTCTGGTATCTTAAATTTAATTTTGATCCTCAGATTTTGTTTTTATTTATTAAAAAAATAATGTGTGTCTGGTAAATCATTTTAGAAGATTCAACACAAAATGAGATTTTGTAATAAAAAGATTTGTTAAAGGTTCATAGATTCTTGGAATGTAATGCTGAATTTATCTCTCTCTCACATACATACACACATATACAAACACATACTTTGTCTATAAATTCAGCATTATATTCTATAAATCCATGAAATACACCTTTTACATATAGGTATTACAGTATTACAGCACTTTTCTGTACACAGCTATTCTTTTGGTAAAATGTAACAATACTGCATGGCATGTAATTTAGTTGTGTTACACGCTTCTCCCTGTAAAATCCACTCCGGCATCCTGGCCATGTCTTGCTGCATTAGTTACACAATCCTAAAGACTGACCAACCAGCCTACCAGTGGGGTAGGGTGCAAGATGGGACTTGAGTCGGGTCAGAGCCCCGTCCACTGTGCTGGCAGTGCTGGACCTAAAACTTGCCTGTGTTCATCCAAGTCCTGCAGATCTCACTGCATGGACATTTTCCATTTCTATTATAGCTGCTGAATGACTGCTCCTTTATGGAAATGCAGGCACGTCAGATGCTGCTGTTGTCTTATGAACGTCTCTCAGACATCTGATCATTCCTCTCACTGGTGACGATGCCGCCTTGCTGCCTGATTGTCCCGCTCTCCCCACCGAGCCCCAGTGCAAGCCAGTTACACAAATCATCTGGTGCTACTCTTCTGTACAGTGGACCTTATGAGGCTCTGCATTCACCCTCCATCCACATAAGATGTTAGTTTTCTGTGCTTGTCTGGAACCCAAGGCACATTCTCCTCTCTCTCTCTCTCTCTCTCTCTCTCCCCATCATCAGACCTGAAGGTTTTCATGCCAGCTATCTCTCCCTCATCTGTTTGCCATCTTCTCAGGGAACTTCACCTTTGGAAAACTCTTTGGCATTTAGTGTTTGTATCATGCTACATTTCAATCAATCGCTGCAGTTTGTTCCCAAATGTGTCTATATGTACTCGACAGTCTCATCATGTAGCCAGCATTTTGATTACATGTCATATGTGTATATACATATAAATCGTAAGGGATGATGCACAGTGACAACAGTTTATTCCTTTCATAAGCATAAATCTGTAAATTGCAGATGTGTCTGGTTAGTGACGCTTCACGGTTCTCCAAACTCTTGTCCAAAACTCTAAAAACATTTTGTTTAGGGTAATAACCATAAAAACCATGTTCAGGATTCTTAAACGACTGCAGATTTGAATTCTTGCATATTTCTCATCTTTTCTAGAGGTGATATCTGAGATAAAAGGTTGCATTTAGCACCAAAATTGAATCAGCTATATCCAAAATAATAAATATGTAGAATTACTACTGTAGGAGTGGTCAGGCTTATTGGTAAAACTGAGTGCTACTTAATCCCATAAATGAGCTGGTTAAAAAAAAATAAGATAACATGTTGGGAGGAAAGATTTCCAAGCATGAATTATTCAACAATAAAACAAAAAAAAATTGTGTAAATTATTCCCAGTCTAACAGACTAGTGTGGCCCTACCCAGCCAATCCTGTTATTCGTCTGTTCTTAAGCCTCATGTTAATCATTCCCGACTGCCTCCTGTTTGTTCCCTCATTAGTCTCGTATACCCTGCGTTCGTGCTCTCCCCTGATGATTTATTTAATTATTTGTTTATTTCAGCCTCAGCACCTCTGCAGGTCCTTGAGCAAGGCCCTTACCCCCCAGCTCCCCTGGTGCCACTGCAGGTGGCTGCCCTTCACAGACAAACTCTACAAAACAAAAAGCAAGTTGAGGGCGATATAAAGACAGTTTCCCCATGGGGATCAATAAAGTATCATTTATTAATATTATTACTTCCCAGTCCTGTGTTCCCCAGCCTGGTGATTATCGTCTCCTCCTGTCAGGCCATGTCCTTCCTCATTGTAGTCCTCTCGTTTGGATCCCTCGCAGTCCAGCTTATTTTCAGGCTCTGTTTAGTTTTAAATGAAACTCCTTTTGTTTCACTCTTTCCCTCAAGTCCTTCGTCTCGAAAGCCATGACATGCGCAGGCAACTATATCTATATATGTGTGCCAGAATATTTGAAACTGTTGTCATACTTTATACTTAGCAAGTCAAGTTATTAAAGTTAGGACAAGCATCAGCCAATGCTATGTGGACTTTTAGGACCAAAGTTGAATCAGCTTTATCCAAAATATTAAATATATAGTATTATGAAAGTGTTTTCCTTAATTTGTGCACCTTCTACTGCGAACCAAATGCTAAAACTCAGTGACATAAACTTCTGACAGTGGGCCCCAGTGTGTCCTCATTTCAGGACACATGTCCATGCAAGCTAACAAAGCCTCTGACCTTTAAGTTAAATGTTACAGATTTACCATGAATATCCTTAAGGTATACAATATGAACTTTAGTAGCATTGTCATAAAATAGGAAACATAAAAACTGGATACTGAGTGAGACAGACTTGGCATCCAGGTAAAAGACATATATATATTGTGTGTGTGTATGTCTATATATATATATATATATATATAATCATTATGTACGCATGTATGTATATGTATATATATAGGTTTCCGACAGTTGCAATGTAACATGCTCCAGCAATTTAAACCAATAGACCTCCTGATTCTCACTGCCAAGAGGCCCATTGACCCTCCATGGGGGTCCCGCTTCCGTTGGCCCAGTGTGCTTGCACTGCCAATAGTTCTACCAGTGGCAAAATAAAATGCATTTGAGTCATCATGTTTACTTTCCCCCCAATATCATAAACAAATGTGACAATGAAAAAGGCACAGTTTGCATAAGAGTGGCCCTCACACAGGCTACTCGCATATGTAACATTTTAATGCAGTATTTTCCTTCAAACAGCATAATAATATTTTTTGTAGACTTCTCTACAGCATGAAAAACATAGCATCATTTTCTATTCAGAGTTAAAGCTGTATAGAGCAACCTCTTGTGTTACACTTTTTAAACACCAACACTTCATGTCAAAGATCTTTAGTACCCGAAAAGCAATTCGGTAATAGGACTACGTACGAGCCAACCTGAGTATAATTAACACGACACGTACGTATATAATTAAAAATATGATTACTTACAATAAGGTCCACGGGACTTTGTTTTCCGCGTAATATTTTCGGTAATATTTTCAAACTTATCAGTACTGGATAATTATGGCTAATACAGTCACCGAGTTAAAATGCAATGCTATCGTCATGCGTTAAGGGAGCAGCAAATAATTTTAATGTCACTAAAGATCTGGGGAAAAATATTTCAGGTGGTCGGTATGGCTCTGCCTTTTTTTCCCCTTGTTTGACAACAAGAGGTTCGTCATATATTATTCAGTTTCATCCCACCCTTGGGATACCTACCGGTTTTTTTTTCGGTCCAGGTGCAGGGAGCGCAAAGAAACCAGCCCTCAGTCAAAGTCGGAGCTGCGTTCGTAAGAACCGCGTCTCGAAGCTTAATTCTGTGCGGATATAACATTTTTCACACCGGATTTCAATTTGAAGGCAAGGTTTCTTCCCCCCCCCCCCTATTTTTATTTTTTGTAAAATATAATTCTCATTGAATTTTCAGCAATTGTTTTTCATTTGGGAGGGGGAACTTTTTTTCCCTGCTGGTTCTCCGCCAGCAATTTTAAAAGCACTTGTAACTGCATGCGTATGAGAGAGTTGCGCTGCGCAAAGGAATAGACCCATGGTGGGGTTTGTTTGTGACTTTAAGGAAGCCATCATATGTGTTATGAATCGGGACCTAAGGATCCGAGGTCTTCTACCTAAACCATACCCTTCCAACCTGCAGAAATGGGTGCCGTTGAAGGTATAGGAGTACTTCCTTGGAGTCCGCCTAATGCCACTTGGTCCGTCTCCTCCAACTCATCACCGCCGATGCCTTACGGGGAACCTCACGACTCCTTCGACGAGATGCTGGTCACATCGCTACTTGGGACGGTCCTGATCGTGATGTGCGTGATCGGCCTGGCTGGTAACATTTATACCCTTGTGGTTATGAACGTTTCGCTGAGGATGACCGGTTCCATGTACGTATACATCGTCAATTTGGCGCTGGCTGACTTGCTGTACTTGTCAACCATCCCGTTTGTCGTGTGCACCTATTTTGCGAAAGACTGGTATTTCGGAGACATCGGGTGTCGGGTCATTTTTAGCTTGGACTTCCTCACCATGCACGCCAGTATCTTCATCCTTACCATCATGAGTACGGAGCGGTATTTAGCGGTGGTGAACCCTTTGGACACCTTAGGGAGATCCAGAAAGTACAGGAGGACAGTGACCTGTGCGGTCTGGCTGGCTTCCTTCTTGCTGGCGCTTCCCACAATGATAATGATCGATCTGAAAAGTAACCTCCGAAACGGAGTCCTTAAACGCATGTGCCACCCGACGTGGCAGATCAAAGCTTATAAGATATATCTGACTGTGCTATTTAACACTTGCATCTTAGCTCCCGGCTTCATCATCGGTTATCTATACCTCAGACTGGCCAAGACATACTGGTTATCACAATCTACAGTTCATGCAACAAAGGCTGCAAATCGGTGTCCCAAGCAGAAAGTGTTTTACATGATTTTTAGCATCGTACTCGCCTACTGGGCTTGTTTTTTACCTTTTTGGTTGTGGCAGCTACTGAGCATATACTACTTTGGCCATGGAGACCTGTCACATCGGACTATGGTATACGTCAACTTCGTGGTGACATGCCTGGCGTATTGCAACAGCTGCATCAACCCTTTTCTGTATACGCTGCTGACGAAAAATTATAAAGAGTACGCGAGGGGACGGCAGAAGAGCTTTTCTGGGTTCGGGTGGAAATTCAGACATGCCTCACAAAGGTCAGTGTCCTCTGGGAGTCAAGTCACTGATACGCTGACCATCGCGCAGCTAAACGGCGGTCCGGACGGCTCTAGTGTGTAGAGCGATGCTTCAGACGGACACTTGTTGAGCACGAAATCACGGCATTGTGATTCGCGCTTAAGTCTTTCCTGTACGATAAAAACAACATGCATATTAAGCTAATTTATAATTTTATGTAAAGAGGGAAATTTCAAATGTAAATACTTGAGGCGGATCTTACCAATACCCGTGTAAATTATGGTATTTTCCAGCGCCTCTGTATGCTCCTATTTGTCAAAACCAAAAAGTATATATCATTATATTACATATAATAGTAACCTGACTCTTTAACACATGCCAGAATGTAACTAAATGTTACATGATTGTGGTTCAAATAAACAGTTAAAGAAATAAAGAGAAAATGCGTTTAGTACAAGCTTCAGATTTGTTGTTTTGTTTTAACAGAGACAGGTTTCCTCCTCAGACGGTATCTTTCAGTATCTTCATGGAAGTTGCTTTTTTTGGAAGTGAAAAATTTCAGATAGGTTTCAGATAAAAACATTATCAACCATCATATCTAAATCCATCCATGCCAAATTTCGCTCCGGCTCATGAAATGCAATTCTTTCTTTTAGTGATTACAGCATAATGTCAATTTTCTGTTTCGCTGCAAAGTGTGTCTTGTTCAGTATCATAAACTATAGCCTATAAAATGTTGATTAGATGGCATCAAGTGATTGAGGCCATTGTAATAATACTTTGCCTTTGTTGCAGTACTTATTCCATGCCTTTACTGTACGTTGTGGACTGTGACGACCAAATGGGCTGCCATTGGGATATATGTGTGTCGTTTCATTTAACCACAAAGCATGTCGATGCTGCATAATTTGTTGTTTAACATGGATAGAAAATGCTGTTGGACAACACAGAACCCTCCGTAATAAAAAACAATATGATAATATAATGCTGGTAATCACCAGTTCTTACATTTATCTGCTAAATGGCATTTATGACTCCGAAAACTATTATGGATTACCTAACACATTTTTATTTATTATTGTCAATGTCTAAAACGATGCTGATTATGATTAATGGCGACCCGTTTCGAACTCCCAAATAAAAATATGTTATCTGTATTTTTTTTTTTTCAACTCTTCCCGATGGATTTTGCTTTGATAGAAATAAAAGGGATCATTCATTTTGAAATGCCACTGTTACATAATTTTGCGCCCTTTTGCAATTTCTCAAGCAGCAAAGAAGAAAGAAAATGTTAAGTTCACAGCGTGACAACCCTCACCAATTTCTCCAGTGGTGAATTACATTATCATGAAGAAATGTCAGAGGAACACGTTGCTGAATTAGTTTTTCTGCTGGAATTAGATGTTGCGGCACACAGCAGGGTAATATTTCGGATCAATAAGCAGCACCGGAAATGTTACTGCTAATAATTCCACTACCTCGGTGACAACTGCTTAATTTTTTGGATTTCTAGTTCCCCTTTACGGTGAATTGGTTCTAATCTTTTGCTCCACTGGTCATTACCTTTATATGCAAATACGCGATGATCAATGTGATACACGAATCAGAAGTATTTGTTAATAGTTGGCGGATATGTACTATGGAGAATACGGTACTAGGGATAAAATCGGCGAATCAAGAGGTGTTCTTCTAAAAAGACCCACTTATCACCTGCGAATGAAATTCCCATATGTTTACCTTCGAGGTGATAATTAGCAGGGAGGCCGTTTAATAAAATGTCCATCTTCCTATTAGACGCATAAGATGTGTATTCTGTTTATAAACCTGACATGTCTGTGTATATAAACAGACCACACACATTTTATGTGCACACAGTAATCCTTCACACGATAATATCCCAGACAATAATGATTCCATAATGCATTTTTTTAATTTAAATAGGAATACTGTATTAAAAACTAAACGCATAAGAAAGTGCGTGCATGTGTGCAAATGGCATCAGTCTTGTTAAATTGTGGGCCTGTATTCAAGCATTTTTTCTGGCTTTTTGACGCAATGCAGTGTGTAGTTTAGTTGGAAACTGTAAAGTGTTACAAAGGTCATAACCATTCATTTAGATGTTATATGCAGTGTTGTGTTTATCCTGGTAACTTTCAAACCATCACTGTCGTAACACCTTGTACTCTTTCATTTCTAGACCTGTGTTATCTTTTCATGATTCAAATGTATAATAAAGCCAGTTATAAATAGCATGTTGTATGCTTTTGATGTTTTAAAATTAATTGACAGCTTAATGGGTTTTTCTGTGTCTTTTGGTTTGGCACCAGTGATAAAGCAAATTGGACACAGCAGCAAAAATGAAACCTTCCTTAGCTTGCATAGGCAGTGTGTGATGTATTATATCGGAATAGAAAAATATTCTGTTGTTCATTCATAAATATTAATGTTTTTGCTATGTAATTTGGGTTGCGGGTTTGAATCCTACCGGCCTTCTTCTGTGTGTGGAGCTGGCATATTCCCATATTCCTTTCTGTAGCTGGCCTCCAAAGCCAACCCAAGGATGAGGCACCGACCCATCGCTGTCACACACCATTCACACCTGGGGGCAATTTGGTAACTTTGGTAATTAACCTCAGCATGTTGGTTTTTTTTTTTTGATGGGAGGGGTCGGGGGGGACCAGAGTACCCAGAGGAAACAACACGCAAACTTCAACCCCCCCTGTGCTGCTTGGCATAGCTAAGTTAATTAACATTTTTTAATTGCACTGAGTGTCTGTGTGTGTATTATGTTTATATTGCATTGTGGGGACCAAATGTTCCCCCCAATCTAATAAAAACCTATTATTTTGACATTGTGGAGACCATTTTTCAGGTCCCCACAAAGATCTGTAGATGCAATCAAAAAACTAAAAATGCCAGAAGTCATGCATTTTGTTTGGTTACTTATGGTTAAGGTTAGGGCTAGGTAGAGGAAAAGGTAATCATTGTTGGGATTAGGATTATACCCATATAAATGAATGGAGAGTCCCCACAAAGATGTGCATACGTACTGTAGATTGTGTGTGTGCGTGTGTGTATGTGCCCTGCAATGGACTGGCATCCCCTACAGGGTGGATCCCGGCCTTGTGCCCGTATGCGGTCTGGGATTGACTCCATGATCCTGACCTGGATGGGTGGTTAGAAGACGTGTGTTTGTATGTTAAGCATTCCGCCATATATGTACATGGTTATGCACATGCTTTGTGGTATGATTTCGTGCCTATCCACGCCATGTCGTGTGAGACAGAAACCCTCTTTCAATTAAGAATTCTGCAAGCATTTACTTCCAGTGACTGGGGAAGAATGGATTTAATATGTCTAATCTGTTCCAGCCATTTTCCAGGCGGTGAAGGCTTGATAGGGTTTTATAACTGTTCTAATGCAGATGCACAGGAGTCCTGCCTTTCCTCAGACATCAATGCCAAATGAGCACTAGTCTTAAGAGGCAAACTTGATTATTGTTTATGCCAAACTACAAAACACTCTGATGCATGGATCTTTTAAAGGTTGTCCCCTTATCATTGCCCTCAATGTGGCAAAAGACCAAATGAAATTAACTTGGATTACCTGCATGCCGTGTGTCTTGGAAATAATATATCAGCAGCCTATTACTGCATTTTAGTCCTCCAAGAGACTATAATTCATTGCACTTCGTCAGAATAAATAGCTATAATTTCACGTCAAAATGAGTTTGATGCATGTTTGTGACCTCGCCCCAACACCTTGATAGTGGCAGTGTTTGGAGAGCAAACAGGAGCCTTCCATGTGATTTGGCTTAGAGTTTTGAAGGTCCCATAAAGCTTAGCTGAGCCTGTTCCTTAGTGTTGAGAGTTGTCCGTTCAACAAGCGTCCGTACTGACTAGGTCACGTAGCTCACAAAGACAGTATTTCCAGTGTGGGTGTTATCTGCGCTTCTGGATCTTCACCGTGAGACACAAAAAAAAGGTTGCAGGATCCAGTCCTGCTTGAGGGGAGCAGATGTTTACTCCTGAAGTTTAATCAAGGTAGAGTAACTAACAGGTACAATGTTAACAAGATTTGCTAAGTTACCGCTACTACTAAGTAATGGGTAAATAATTTAAGAATTTTACAGTGAACTCAATCGTTTAAGGTGCTCCTAATCTGCCAGATCTCTTACCTGACAAATATACACTGAGACTGCCCCTCACACACACACACACACACACACACACTCTCCCAGCCGTGACAGCTGTCTTTCTCCATGTGCCACATTCAGAAGGTTAGAGCCATGAATTATGGCAGATGCTCTCTGTCCCTTCAAGAATGCCCATAATTATCTCCTTTATGGAGCCTGTCAACAGCCTGTACCTGGATGTGCGGTCGAATGACCCTGTTTAATTTAAAGAAGAATGAACGTGACGAAGTCCTTGAGGTTGGACAGGTGCTGCCCTTCAGCTTGTGGTCCAAGGCAGTGATTGGTAAGAATGAAGAAAATAGTGCCTGATACAGATGTCAACACCCAACCCCCCTCCCCTGCACTGGAAGATCTTTCACATTCCAGCTTAATTCAGATGGTGACGGAATTGCTGGTATTAAACATTTTATTCCCTGTTAATGGGGTAATTTGCTCACCTCGTTCTTGGCCAAGGCTTTTACTGCCTAGCACATGATTAAAGTTCGTTTTATAAAAAAGTTTTTCTGTTTTTTCCTTTCGGTTCATAATAAAAGGCACTATACAGGGGTGACGTTTTACTTGATGGTGCAAATTGACAGACAATGAGGCTAATGTGTAAATGGAGGTCGTGTTCTTGTCTGGTTACTATTATCCTTCAATTAGCATAGATGCCGAGAGTTTTTTTAAATGGCAGCTACGCTAAGGAGAGAGGCTGGGGAATTTCCTCTGGAGATTTCAGATTTATTGTTTCCTTTCAGACTTCTTCTTGGTGCCAAGTTTTGTGAGTCCTAAAGCCAAAATTGATCTTTACAGGATGTGATACAGCACGTCCTGCTTTATGAAAATATCAACCTGCTTCTCCCAGTCAAACTGCATTCGAATCAGAGAGCAGTCTCTTTAATTCAGTAAGGTGTGTTTGATCCTCTTCCCTGGCACAGCTCCGGAGAATGGGTTCTATAAGTAATGTGACTTTGACCTGTGAACACAGCACCGCTAAAGGTGAAAATAACCGTAGGTCCAGTCAAGAACTCAGGGCCGTTTTTTGGCCGTAGAAATGCTCGCAGGGTAAGACGGCAGCTGAGTCGGTTGGCGCTGTCCAGGCTCTCGGCCCCACGTCTTCTGGGCCCTCATAGAAGGTACCAGAAACCAAAGGAAACAGCGAGACAGAAACGGTAGCTGCTCCCTCTGTTTTTTTAAACCTCCTCTGGCAGCCTGTTAAATGGGGGAAGTTAAAAACAGGCTGTGGTGCATTGAGGGGTGGGGGGGGGG